GAGGCATTCTAGAGTTCTCTGAAATATTTCTAAGTCTGGACTGCTTGTCTGATTTAACTTATCTGACTGATCTGATCTTATTTATCTGATTGGGTGCAACTCGACTTAATCGTGGTCCGGGTGCATACGAACGGACACGACATCAGTCGACGCACAACTTTTCTACTCGGATCTAGCGCATCCGGACTGGCCGAAAAAAGGCCAGACTAGGGTTCTTTACTCAACCGGCTATCTATCTCGGTTCAAGTCAAAAACTCATACTTTAAGTTCAACTCGATCCCCAATAATTTTAGCTAAATCTCAACCTGATAAATTCTAGGGTTTTCACCAAAGCAGCTAAAGTCTCGAATTTATAGGCATATCAAACAACCTCTAAAAATTATGAAATTTTAACCACGACATATTCAGCATTTATAGGATTTTTCGTGAAAGTTTCATCGAATTCCGAGGTCTTTTCATATTTCTCATAAATTGGGCATTTCAGCTACATATTCAAAAATCCAGTTAACATACTAAACGGGCACCAAAATTTACGAAATTAAAACCTAAGACTCAAGTCAGCTGTACGAATTTTATCATATTTTTTTCGACATTTTTAACGCGTCTATCGAAAATATCAATTTATCCGTTTTAAGCTCGTGTGTACCGATCCAACTCAAATCAACATCTCAATTAATTTTTAGCTTGTTTTTATCATCAATTTATCCCATATCATTCAAGTCTTTAGATATTATACCTCACGAGATCGGAAACGAGCGGATCGGACCAAAAAAATGGAAGAAAAACGGAGCAAGAAGCCGGTCGGGTCGGACCGGTCCAACTAGGAGCTGTTTGGACCGGATTTTTGGGCTGTGGGATGCTGTTGACCGGGTCAAACCCACGAATCTGAACTGCCGGGTCGGATTTTGGGTCGGGCTTGCGGATCTGAGGAGGTGGGCGCAAGTCTTGAGCTGGAAACGGGTGTATGAGCCGCTGGTCGGGCGTGGTTCGCCGCTGGCTCGAGGTCGTGGAGCTGGAACGAGCTCGCCGGGACTGAGCTGAGGAGGGGACGGTGGTCGTGGAGGCGACGCGGCGGAGCTGAGAAAGTCGTCGGATCTGGGCCTCGCCGTGGGGGAGCTGGGGTCGCGCGCTGGAGCTGAGCTGGGGGGGGCGACGAAACTGGAAGCTCGCCGGAGGGTCGCGCGCTTGCTGAGGTCGCCGGCGGAAAACTGGAGGCTGCTGGTCGCGGTTGAGCTGGGGTTGAGCTCGCCGTGCGTGGATGGCTGGAACCGGGGCGATTCGGGTCTGCAACCAGCTGGGACGCGGCGGACTGAGCTAGGGCTGAGGAGGGGCTGCGGGTTTGGTGCGTGAGCTGGTCGGTTCTTGCCGGGAAACTGGTCACGGTGGCCGGAGATGGGAGCTGGTCGCCGGATTTTTGAGCTCAAGGCATGGATCTTGAAATTTTAGCTATGGATTCTTGATGGTTTAGGAGGGATCTTGAGTTGGAGCTAGATGTAGGTGATGAAGATGATGAATAGTGGAGTGGGGGCTAGGGTTTTTCTCTTTTTTGTTGGGTGTTGGGGAACATGAAGACAAGATCTATTTATAGGAGGGTGGGTAGCTTAGGGTTTGTAGGAATTGGGCTTAAAAATCGGGCCTAATCAATTGGGCTCGATTTTAACAACTTGGGCTCGAATAAATAATTGCTACTAGGCTCGATTTTAAAATACTACATGGGCTTAGTATTAAATAAATCATGCAATTAATATTAATAATAATCCGCATAATTAAAATAATACTAATACCGATAAATAAGTCGAGCTATTAATATAATATTTGTCCGGGGTGTTACATGAATCCCCCAACCAAGACAGCTATATAGTGAAAGGTGAATTAATTGAACAAGCAGATACAAAAAGAAAAATGAAAATCAAAATTTCAGGAGACAGAAAAGAAATTGCACGCGTCGAGTGGATCAGATAGGAGAAGGGTTCCCCTACAAATTATTCGAGTCGATAAAATCGTGTATTTGTTCGAGATTGTTCGTTTTTTCGGTAATAGATGACAAAGATGATGGAGAGGTGTTCTGGTTTTGAGAAAACAGACATGAATGGCAATCCTTTAGTTTGAAAACTCAACAAATCGTTGTACGGCCTTAAGCAGGCTTCAAGAGCCTGGAATTCTAAGCTTGCTCAACAGCGTCAATTAACTCACAGTCCGCCACCGCCTCAGAGAAATCCCCGATCTCCGCAGAACGGTCCAAACGGCCACCAATGCACTCACCGGGATGCATAAAGATGTTGAAATCACCGCTTACCATCCACGCCCTCCATACTTTCAACAATCTCACGCGTGGTGTCCTAAAGATTGTAGCGCCCAACCCTCGAACAACTAGCGTAAACCAGGGTGTGGAAGATGAGAGCCCAAAGAATGCTAAAGCTACATCCAATTTCAATTTGGACATGCCCTTCTTCGAGGACAACAAAAGGGGCTAATAAATTCGATTACTTGAAGCATAAAAAAGGATCCGGTAGGTCGGTCGCCCTGTAGTCAGTGACTAATTCAGCTATGGAGCTGGTCAGCCACGTCGAGACTCTCTTTCGAAAATGAGATCACCACCGGCTTTTTGAAGAGGGAAAGATCACTTCTAAATACAGCAATAATCTTATAAACGATACCATCGGGGGAGGACTGATGATTCGATTCCAAAGAAAGTACACCTTCTTTGTCTATCAGCTCAGCAGACTTATTCGCTTCGCTACACTCTTACCTTCGTACGGTTTGCTGCTTATGCAGCTCACCTCCTTCGAAGCCTCTTTCGCATCTTCGCCTTCCTATGAGTATTATGTGTTTTAGTTATTGAATCTTTCTTTCGAAAAAAAATTGGCCTAGTGCGTAGACCCCATGAAATTTTAGCATTCGAATTGCACACAATCACACTCTCAAGCAGTACGAGTGTCTATCGATCCAAAATATAAGAGAATCTCCAATGTGGCTTTTGACATTTTAAAAATTTATCCATATCATCAACTTTTGAAAGTGTTACTAATTTGTTCTCCAATGCATTTTGTCATGAGCTCTTTCATGATGAGGTGAATAGCATTTAATGTTGACAATGTTGAGCACACTTTCTAATATCTAACATCATGTTAAACATGATGACTGATCAATTCACTTTATATTTGATGTAAATTTTTTATTTGTTCTTGTATTAATGATTATTTTGAATAGTCCACCTATACAAATTACTTTTTATCAAATTGATGCATTAGACATACTAGTTTGATTCAAATTTTTAATCTTTTAACATTATTCCTACATATATATTAATTGACATGTGTTAAAAATCATTGTCTTTCAAAGCTATAACATTGGAGATGTTCTAAAACATCTGGTAGCATGTAAGGGAGAAATCATCCACTCAAACGTTAGCAATCTTCTTTAAATAAAATAAAATAGAACAAAAGTTAACAAATGATTTTTTTTTTCTTTTTGTCTTTTGGATGACACGTATTATTCATGTAGGTAGGCGTATTAGGAAAGTCGAACGAAAAATTTAACAGAAATATTGAAACAGTAATATTTGACCCACTAAAATCTCACTCTAATTACAGAGCCACAATTGACATGGAAGGCAAAACACGGCAGCATCCTAACAAGGCACGAATTATTAAACATAACAAGGAATACAAAAGAAAACCAAAATCCATTTGTAAAGTCATCCACATAAATCCCAATACCTCTATCCTTTTTTTTTTTTTTTTNTTCTTTACTTTTTTCGTTTTTTGGTTGTGTTTCTCCAACTTCCAACTTACATAAAGCACAACACCATAAACATAATACCAAAGCTAAACTATATATATATATATCCCATAGCCCTACAAAACCTACCAAATCTAGCCGGCCGAGACATTGAGCCACAAGCTCCACAAGTGTCTCACCAGCATCACAAGAAGCGAAATTTTCACGTTACCTTCTCTGGAAAGAGCATAGTGGCTCGAGAAATTCTTCCCCCCATTTTCGGTACTCAGATTTATATCACAGAGCTCGCCAAGGAGAGCTCATGAATCTCACCTAGCATCCACTCCTCCCCCGTCTGTCCCCCAAGTACTATCGCCCTCGTCCCTCCCACAATGCACGTGCTGTGGCCCCACGCAAACCTCGGCGGCCTCCCCGGAACATTCAGTATCCTCCACGTTGGCTTCTCCTCTGTCGGGTCGAGTATGTATAGCTGGGAGGCCGAGTGGAGCCCTGCCACCGAGCCCCCAAACACGAGGATCCTCCCGCCGGGGAGGCTGACCGCCACGTGGTCGAGTCTCGGTGGCGGGGCCACCCCTCCGGGGTTGGTGGCTCCCGGCATCCCGCTCCCCGTCACGCACCGCCAGCATGGCTCGTCTTCCCCCAGGTCCATCGTGAACACATCGCTCGACCGGAATCGCAGGGGCCCACTCTTGGCGAGCCCCCCGAACATCAGAATTTTCCGCCCCCCATATACCGACAGCGTGTGTCCCAGCCGAGAGGGTGGGGTCCACGCCATGGGGATCTCCCGCCACACGGGTTTCTCCATCGAGAGGTCGAGCAAGAACGTGTCGCTCAGGAGAACACCCGAGTCGGCGCACCCGCCCGACACAATCAGCTTGGTCCCGTCCAGCGTGCACGAGCTGTGCCAGGATCTCGGCAGGGGCGGGGCCAGGCTCGATATCTCCCTCCACGTCGGGTGCTTGGCGTCGAGGTCCAAGACGAAAACATCGTTAAGCAGCCCCTGCCTCCCGCAACCGCCGAATAAGACGAGATGGGAGCCGTTGACACACGAGAGGGTGTGGCCCCATCTGCCGGGTGGTGGGGAACCCACCTTCACGTGCTGCCACTCAGGGTTGGTAGAGTTGAGGTCGAGGACAAATGTGTCGTTCATGGGCTGCATATTGACCCCCTCCCCGCCGAACAGGACAACGCGATTCCCGACCGCGCAAGCGCTGAAGTTGCAGCGGGAGGGTTCGACCGCGCCCCCGACGACGAGCTTCCGCCAGGCAGCGGCCTCGAGGGTCGTGAGCTCCCGCGCGAGACGGCCCCACCCAAGCCGCTTGGCCCCCGGGACGGTCTCCAGAACCCGAGTCGTCTCACTGCCCCACGCGTTCTGGCACACCATCCGCCACAGGTCCTCGTTCCTCGTCAGCTCGTAGAACCGCACGCAGACGGACCCCACGGCTGCAATGTCCCTCGGTGTGAGGCGGGAGAGAATTTTCAGGGCAATCACCTCGTCGCTCAGCTGCATGATGCCGCATACCCCGCGGCCCACACCATCTGGGGATGCCCCGCTCGGGCTCGTGGTGAACCGGAAGCGGTTGGACCGCCGGGACGGCTCCTTGTCAGAAGAGCCCGGAAGCGGACCCAGGTCGAGGGCGGCCTCGATGAAGACCTGTATGCCGATAATGTGGGTTATGGTCTGGTCGTCTCCGTATATGGGGGTCATCCGCAATCTGTTCATCAGTGGGGAGCCATCTTTACGGAAGTTTAGCAGTTCACCTTGGAATTCAATTCCTTCCTCAAGGCATCTTCTGATTTCGGCAACGACTGTGGGGTTCACAAGGGAATGCCTGCGCTTGGCGAACGGGCCTCGGCACTGCAAGAAACGGCTGTAGGAAATTCAAGAAAGAGTTGAGATGTGAGCAGGCAGTTGTATGCATTGGGCACACAAAAAAGTAGAGGGACAGAAAAAGAACCCAGCTGTTGGAAGTTAAATTGCAGCGGTTAAGAATAAAATTATGAAAGGCTTTGTTGTTGTTGTTGTAAGAATAAAATGATGAAATGTTTTAAAGCCCAAATTTCAGTAGAAAACTATAATTCACCACATGAGCAAACAGAGGTGAAAATTGTTTACAAATTACAAGGACAGGAGCTTCTAATTACCATTCGCGTCTTAAGTAGTACCCAAGTGGAAAATCAGCACATGAAGAAAATTCTTGTCTCCCTATTACTTTGTACATCCTATTATGACTTACTATTGTAATTGAGAGAATACTTTACATTTAACAACGAAGTTTTGACCTCGTAATTGAATGTACACAGAAACATAAACATTTCATCAAGAGTATTGCACATTACGAAGGAAAAAAACCTTAGGACAGCGAATATCACACTCAATACCATATAACTTCCAGCCACTACATTGAAGAAAGATTAATATAGATTTGTCTCAAGGTAAAAACAAAAGTGGGCTGGTTGACTTTCAAAGCACAACAAAAATTTAATCTGACATGTTCAGGCACATGAGGAAGATATTATGATCCATCTACAAAGACAACCTGCTACTAAAATGATTTGAAAACCTCTTAATACATCACCAAAAAAGATTAAGCAAATTATAGAGTTAAACAGTACACATAAATTTCAATCAAAAAGATTTGTGACCTAAAAAAAAAAATCGATTTCCTAGAATAACTTGAAAAGTGTGATAGATGATGAGATGGAAATGTAATGATTCAAATTGTTGTGATGCACAAATAATAAAATAAGGAGTGATAGTTAGAAATATGTGAGAGAATAGTAAATTTGATAGTGAACTGAGTAGTAATGATTGAGCTTTTATTTTTTATTTTCTTTTTCTTTTTAAGTTATATAGTTAAAACTGAGGAAGGAAAAATTGGGATCAGCGAGTAGTGTATATCAATCAATCAATCAAGGAGACATTAAAATCCCACTAAGTGGGGTTGGTTATATGAATCACATGTCGCCATCGTGCTCGATCAAAGCACATATCCTCATTCATATTTAAATATCTTAAATCATTTTTTAGTCTCCTTCCAAGTTTTCTTTGGTCTACCCCTCCCTCTTTTAATTTGCTCTTTTAATTCTAATGTTTCTAGCCTTCTCACTGGTGCCTCGAAGTCTATCCTACGCACATGTTTATACCATCTTAATCGTGATTCTCTCATTTTCTCTTCTATGGGCGCTACCCCAACTTTATTTCTATGAGCGAGTAGTGTAATTTATTTAAAAATTTCCGATGGTGAAATAAAAAATTCATTTTACTTGTATCCAAGTAACCTTCAGACTCTTTTCACGAATAAATACAAACAAAAAACCATCATGTGCTCTGGACTATCACCACAACTTCCAACTGTAAAGCTAGACAAGCCTAATGCTACTCATATGTGATATGATCAAGCAGACATTAGTGAGAAAATTCAGTATAATCTTTTCATAAAATGTCACGTTACCTTAGTAATGTCAACTGGAAGATACTAACTCCTATTTTTTCATTATCTATGCTAACATTCTGTAAATGTGAGCTTCTATTTTCTTCATCTCTTCAAAGGATCTTCAAGAACAACACTTTCATTGCCTCCTTAGAATCAAAGCACATTCTGTTCTGTACCACCTTCAGCTTTTGAACTAATGTTTGTTAAGCTAGTAGGATTACTGCCTTTCATTTGAATATTATATAGCTAACCTTAATTTGGAAACCATATTAAACCATGTGCACAACAATCCACAATATGTTATACATTAGCCTGTTCCCTGAAGTCCAAAAAGATTATAAAAACTACCCCCACCGTCCACTCAAATAGCATCAATGTTTTTGCCGCAATTACATAATATCAAAGAAATGTCTCGCACTATTAGGAAAAAATACTTTTGGAGAAGTACCAAGGAGAATTATTTCAGAACCGAGAAAATTAGGTATAATGGCAGTGCACTTTAAAGTTTTCTCGTACTAGTGATTTTAACATGATTCATGCCATACCTAAAACCTTAGTAGTTTGATAGAAGACCTAATAAGTAGAACTAGATTTTACATTTTCTTTGAGATAGTTTTCATTCAAGGGGATGTGATAGAGAATAAAGTTTGAACATTTATCCAGTAACTCAAACAGACAAGCAACATTCATTTCCTCTATCAGGATTCAGAAACACAACATGCCGATCATTCTGCTGCATCGCGCATTCATGATGCATAAGCTAAGGACAATAAACTAAAAATTTAGCAATGCTAAACCCAAAATCCCACTTCAATATATCTTCTGTTATGCAAACTTACATTTTTTCCCTAAATGAAACAAAAGTAGGCTAGAACACTTGTGATCCAGCTCAAAAACAATTCCCTACCACATAGTATATGACGACATAACCAAAGAAAAGGTCCAATGTCCACGATTCACCCTTTTACTACTTAGTACGTACTATAAATCTCAAGCACATTAATAGAAACTGCTCACATCCATAATCAAACACCCAGCAGCGATGAACACAAAATATTCCAAATTCCAACTACAAAAGAGACCATCACATCAACAAATAAAAGTGACACCACAGAAATTGTAAACACCCCACAAAAAAAAAAAAAATAAATAAATAAATAAAAAATAAAAAATAAAAATAAAAATTAAAAATAAAGGATTAAAGGCATTTAAAAAAAAAAGATAAAAACAAATAAAAAAAAGGAGATTTAGAAAGCACTAACCAATTACGTCCGAGGACCTCCTCCGCACGATAACCAGTAACCATCTCAAACACGGAATTAACATAGATAATGGGGTTGTCCGGCTCCAAAGCATCCGTAACAACAAAACCACACGGCGCCGGCTGCAGGAGCGTGTCAACCGGGAACGGCAGCTGACCTCCGCCGCTTTTCCTCAACATAAACCCTAATTCCTCTTCCTCCTCGCCGCCGCTCAGATCAGACTCCGAGTCACTATCCCACTCCATCACACTCTCAACGCACGCACAGCACTTCGCCTTCCTCTCACCCCATAAGACGCCAAAATCGAACGGAAGAGACCGCACAAAAAGCAGTAGAAATTTGCGATTCAAACGGGTTTGTTTTCCTCTGCTAATTTAGGGTTGGTGGGCAATTGAGGGTTTTCAGGGACGGCCGAAATGAGTGGAAGAGACGATGGGTTTTGGGGGTTTCGTTTTGGGTTTGTTTTTTTGTCAAGCAAAAACAGAGGGACCAATCCACAGAGATACAAAGGGGGAACTTACGGGATTTTTTTAAGGGTTAAGAGGAAAATAAAGGGGAATATAAGGTTCAATTTGGTGTTGTACCGCTAAGTTATTTAATCGATCAATAGCCAGTCGGTGCATATATGAGATGTGTATAAAGTGTTATAAATAAAATAATAATGGATATTATCTCATTTTATAAATTTGATCATTTGCATAATATGGCTATTTAACTACAAATAAATGAATTACTATTATTGAATGCACCAAATCAGATAGAAGATATATTTTTTTGTAATATTGAAGCATCATGATAAATTAGTTTGCTATAAAATTTTATATCTGAAAAGGTTTGTAGTTATGAAATTAAAATCATTTAGTTATTTCTTTAAACAAAAATGTCATAAAAAATGAATTTAGAATAATAGCTTGAAAAAACAGTTTTACAATATTCCATATACTCTTTACCATTTTAGTGTAAATTATAACTAGTTGATATTTTTAATAACTGTTATATGATAAAATAACTAATAAAATATAATTGTACTTAATTAATGATAAAATAATTAATTGTACTTAATCAGTCTTAAAATATGAAAGTTTTATCCGTGCATTTGCACAAAAACTCATATAATAGAAGTGAAAGTAAAAAACAAGAATGGAGCCTGAAGAGAATTCTCTCGCTTATCTCAACCCTGTGATTGCAACGTTCGACCCCGGCGTAGATCCGCCGGAGCGCACTACAGAAACGGAGTTCTCAACGCTGACACCTTTCAACCCTCACGCACCTAAACGCCTGCGAACTCGAAAACGACTAAGAGATTTCCTGGATCATCACAACCCCCGCCAAGAAACTCACACAGTCGCACCCTCAGAAGATCCACCCGCCCCAGCACGTACCCCTCCTCTTCGATGGACTTTTCGTGACATGTTGAATAAACATAGATCTCATGTGGAGATGGACCAGGAGCATGAGGAAGTGGTCGAAGAGGGAGAGGAAGGGGAGGATGATATGTCTGTCGACTTTTCCTGCCAGATCCCGGATGTTAAGATTAACCAAAGTTTCTTTGATCGCATAAGATAGAAGTGGAAGAACGCGGTGGTAATCAAACCTTTCGATGAGTCAATTACCATGGCATCATTGTATAATCGCCTGACCAAATTGTGGCCTTTCATGGCGGGATGCAACATGGTGGACCTTGAGAACGGCTACTATCTCATCCACTTTCAGTTACAAGAGGACGCAGTAAGAGTGCTTACGAGAGGACCGTACGTTATTGGGAGTGGGTACATGCATGTCCAAGCGTGGAACATTGATTTTGATTCTACTCAAGCAGAGGTCACGTCGACAGTTGTGTGGATACGCCTACCGGGGATGCCCGCTCATCTCTACCACAAGAAGGTGTTCCGAACAATAGAGCGGATCGTGGGTAAGGTAGTTAAGATTGATCAGCAAACGGCATCCCTCACCCGCGAGAAATATGCACGGCTCACGGTGGTCGTGGATATCTCGAAGCCATTATGTGTTAACTTAACCATTAACGACAAACAACAACGAGTCGTCTACAAGAACATGCCCGTTGTAACACTCCGCCTAGACTTACTAAAATCAGAGTAAATTTTTCGTGATATAAATGGAAAGCACTGATTTAATTTTTGAAAACTAATATTAATTTTTCGAAAATACTTTAACTTTAAAACGCGGGATGCTACTCAACTTTAATCTTTATCTTTATCTCTTTAATCTAACATGCATGCGACCAAGTAAATTCATTCT